CTAAGGACAGCGCAGCCCTGACACACGGGGGCCGCCCTGGCTTGGAGCGGACGCCCCGGCAGGGTGTTTGGGTTTGGTTTCTGGCTCAGAGGCTCCCTGAGTGGTAGAGGGGTGAGCGTCGTTGGCTGCACGTGGAAGGTGGGCGGTCCGAGTGCCCCCAGAGGTCCCTGGGAAGAAGGGTGTGCCGGTGTCCTTCGGATCACTGCTAGCTAGAAACCTCACGGGCCGGTTCTGCTCGGACGGACGGACGCATGTGGCGGCCGGGGTGTGTGGGTTAAATGGAATCAACTGGATGGCGACTGGGGTTTTTTTTGTGGGGGGGCACGTTGTGATAACCGACCGCGTTGGTAACTGACCCCAGTGATGACGCGGGCCTCCGGGGGACGCCTCTTGCTTGGTATGACTTCCCCCCAAGAGGGGACTGGTGGGGGGGTTGCTGACTCAGCTGGCCTGCTATTGGGGGAGTACTGAGTCAGTTGACCTAGTGGTGTTGGGGTGGCCCTGTTTTGGGGGTGTTGACTCAGCTGGCCTGCTATGGGGGGCCTGGCCAGCTATTGGGGGGTGCTACTCATCTGGCCTGCTATTGCAGGGATAGCCTGGTATGGGGGCACTGGCCTGATGTTGGGGGTCTGGCTGATATTAGGGGTGTGGCCTGCCATTGTGGGATTTACCTGCTGTTGGGGGGTGATGACCCAGCTGCCCTGGTGTGGGGGGTGGCCTGGTATTGGGGGAGTACTGAGTCAGTTGACCTAGTGGTGTTGGGGTGGCCCTGTTTTGGGGGGTGTTGACTCAGCTGGCCTGGTATGGGGGCTGCCCTGGTGTTGAGGGCGTGGCCTGATACTGGGGAACTGGCCTGCCATTGGGCTCCCCTGCTGTTGGGGGTGATAACTCAGCTGCCCGATATGGGGGTGGCCTGGTACTGGGGAGTTCTGACTCATTTGACCTTGTGGTCAGGGGGTGGCCTTTTATTGTGGGGGCTGACTCAGTTGGCCTGCTATGGGGAATGGCCTGCCATTGGGGGCCCGGCCTGGTGAGGGGTTCGCCTGTTATTGGGGGTGCTGATTCAGCTGGTTTCTGTTTTCGTTACACTGTCCTGATATTTTTCTTTCCTTTTCTCATGTTGTTTTCGGTGAAGGTGAAATTCTTAAAACGATTGAAGAAAACGGTTTGCAGAACTCGACGTTCGTGTATTTCACCTCTGACCACGGAGGACATCTCGAGGCCAGAGATGGACACCAACAGCTGGGCGGGTGGAATGGGGTCTACAGAGGTGAGACCCGCAGGCGGGGGCCGGGGGGACAGACGGGGACCCATCAGTGACCGCCACCAGCAAAGGGGGGAGAGCACGTGGAAGGGAAACAGGTTGCTCATCTAAAAAATGCTTAGGAAGCTCCTACTGTGGACTGGGTTCTGCCACAGTCTAGGGACAGATCCACTCCTTGACCTAAAACCAAACCAAATTCACTGCCACCAACTCATAGCAACCCCCTTTGGGTTTCCGAGGCGGTAAATCTTTACGGAAGCAGATTGCCCAGTCTTCCTTCTGAGGAGTGGCTGGTGGGTTGGAACCACCAACCTTCTGGTGAGCAGTCAAATGCCTGAGGCACTATGCCACCAGAGCACCTTCCGTTGCCTAATAGGGCTCCCGTTTTAGGTGGAGAGTTGAGACTGTTTGCCAGCCAGCCACTCCCGACTCCGGGTGACCCCGTGTGACAGGGCACTGCTGCCCTGTGGGGTTTGCTAGGCTGGCTGCTGTGTGGGCAGAGGGCCAGGCCCTTCTTAGGCTGAGCTGCTGGGTGGTTAGACCCGTCAACCTGTGGGTTCGTACTTAAGTGCCAACTCCCACCTGGGGACCCCCCTTATTAATCACCACGTCTGGGAAATTCATTCTCTGTTAAAAACGTGGCAGAAAGCAGCTCCTTGTTATCTATATATTTAGTCACTGCGGGTATTTCAACACGAGTGTACCTGTTGCTTTTGGTGGGCCCTGTTGAATCAGTTCTGACTCACGGCAACCCCACATGTGCGTAGAGCTGCCCATAGGATTTCCAAGGCTGTCATCTCTCCTGGCTCAGCTCAGGTGGTGCAGTGGTTAAGTGCTCAGCTGCTAAACAAAAGGTAGGTTATAACCCACCAGCCACTCCATAGGAGAAGGATGAAGGCAGTTTCTTCTGTGAAGACTGACAGCCTTGGAGACCCTGTGGGGCAGTTCCACTCTGTCCTCTAGGGGCACTGTGGGTCAGAATGGACTCCAGGGCAGGGAGTTTGTTTTGGGTTTTGCTTCTGTGAAGTCTGACAGCCTTGGAGACCCTGTGGGGCGGTTCCACTGTGTCACATGGGGTCATTATGATTCAGAATCAACTTGTGGCACCCAACTGCACCATAGACTGTGAGTCAGAATCAAGACAAGGGGTTATTTTGAGGCTACTGTAGACCAAGTTCTGCTTAGATCTTAGGAAAAGAGAAGACACATCTCCCCATATGGGTTCACAATTTAGCAAGAGAGGAAAATGGACAAACTTTTTATAAAGTAATGTTAAAATGAATATTAGTCTGAATGCAAGGCAAAATACCAACACCACATCCACTGCATGGAGTGGATTCCGACCCACAGCGCCCCTAGAGGACAGAGTGGAACTGCCCACAGGGTCTCCGAGGCTGTCAGTCTTCATGGAAGCAGACTACCTCATCTTTCTCCCCAAGTGGCTGGTGGGTTCAAACCACCAACCTTTAGGTTCCAGTTTGGAGGAGTCCTGACTAGGACATGGCCCCTAAAATATCCCTGTGGCCATTTCTGGAAAAGCATCTTCCGCAGTGAGCATGTCTGTCTGTCTGGCGGTGGGGGTGAGGTGTATACACTCACATTCAGATACACCTGGCGTGTGTCTGCTTCTGCCGAACCACCGGCAATTCCTCTCCATGTGGTTTACTTACAGGAGGCAAAGGCATGGGTGGCTGGGAAGGGGGTATCCGTGTCCCTGGAATCTTCCGATGGCCTGGGGTGCTGCCCGCCGGCCGCGTCATTGATGAACCTACCAGCCTGATGGACATCTTCCCTACTGTGGTCCAGCTGGCAGGCGGTCAGGTGCCCCAGGACAGGTACGTGCGGGACGGGACCACCAGCTCCCTGGTCTCTGAGAGGCATCCTTCGAATTTTACACATTTGAGGAAAATGCAGCAACGTGAGAATATTTTAAAAATTCTCACTTCTTCAAAATGGACAACAGTGTAATTTATAATATCCATAACCAGCTAGTTGCCATCAGGGTAACTCTGACTCACAGCGCCCCCATGTGTGTGTGCCAGACTAGAGCTGTGGTCCTCATGGTTTTTGTTAGTTTGATTTTTGAATTGGATAGCCAGGCCTTTCTTGTGAGGCACTTCTGGTCAGACTCGAACCTCCTCCCTTTGGAGGAGCAGCTCAGAGTGTGTAGAGTTTGTATCTCCCAGGAGCTGCTTAAGTTTTCAGGTGTTTAGAAGAAAAGAGCTTTAGATCACCCTCCCATCCTGGCCTTCCCAACTGGCACCTTGTAACGATGTGTCTTGGAATTGATCATGTTTTAATCACCACAAAAAGAAGAGCAGACAAGAAAATGGGGCTGTGCAATTCAGCTGCCATTTTGGGATGGGTGTTAGCATCCAAGGGTCCCTGAATGGTGCAAATGGTTTGCACAGGGCTGCTAACGAAAGCTCGGCATTCAGACCCACCCAGAGACTCCACAGGAGAAAAGACATGGTGACCTGTGCCCTTAAAGGTTACAGCCTTGGAAAGTCTATGGGGCACTGGGAGGCAGAATGGACTCCACAGCAGTGGGTGTGGTTTGGGCTTTGCTTCTGTGAAGATTGACAGCCTTGG